TAGACAATGTCAACAAAGTTCATACCTCCATTACGTGAAATACACTTAACTGAGTTACAATCGCATGTCTCAATGATTCATCTTTCCTAGTTACTACTTGATCTTACAAGATCATAAAAGGGTCAACAGTCAGCAACACGTCGTGAGCTTCTTAATTCTCCGGTGGCGGAGAAGATGAGGGGTGTACCTACAAGGTACTCTGATGGAAAGTAAGAGACGAAGTAGAAAGAGCAAGCACATAGAAAGGGTGTAGATAATTGAATATCTGATCCTCTAGTGAAAAAGAGTATTTATAATGTGACCCCAACACTGAGCAAACAATTACTTTGCACTGGGTCGAATTGCAAGGCCCAATACGAGTAACTGCCAGGGCTTACGTGGTCTAGGGAAGACCAGCACTTGGTTTTCACCCTGGGTCAACTGCCCCACGATCTTTGGGAGGTGGATAGTTTCTTGATGACGTGTCCCCGCGTGGGGAGCACGTGGAGTCTGTGGGGGAGACGTGTGAAAGATCCTCGTGTGCGCTGATGGATTAGGCCTTCATAGGGCCCTCCTCGATGAGGATCTAAGTTGGGCTGTGCCCGATGGTGGGCCAGCCTCTGGCCCAGTCCAGAACACTCTTATATATGTATCGAACTCGAGACAAGCACGAATGAAGGTTATTCCTGAATACGCGATTTGTCTCAATAATCTCCACGTGGCTATATCACAACCATCATGGAATATGCACAATTCCATATGATTATATCAAAATCACAATATAACATAAAATGTTTCCATACAAGCTCATTGAGTCACAACTATGACATTGTTCCCCATTTATGCCTCCGATATTCTCGTGGATGGATTACTCATCTCTAGCGACTACCCATTCATGGATGCACACCTAAACACCTCTTACATTCGAGTATCACAACCTAATTATTTACCATAATTTAAATAATATTTCTAATTCATTCACCTATTTATAACCTAGGTTCACCTCACTTTTTATCATAGTTAATTCAACCATTATGCATTCAAGGCAAATACCTATTCATGATGTAGTTTATAACATAAGCATAATAGTTCATTATTACTCAAAAAGCATTATTAAAATACATGCATTATCTACTTCATTAAATAATAAAGGATTGAATTAGTTTTCCAACGTATCCAACCTCGTCTCATTTCGAGTTACGAAACTCAAGATACGTTATTTTCAATATTGCTGACTTTCTCATATCAGCAAATTTGGCTAAGCGAGGATCTGTTTCGCTTAGCGAAAATGACAACATAGAAACACGAAAACCTCACTTTTAACCCATTTTCTTCAACCTTTACCCATCCAAACTATACCCAATCATGTCATAACATACTCAAGCATTTAAACATTATCCTAGAATACATATGCAGCCATACACCGCCATAACTAATCGACCAATATATGGGATTCACATATGGTTTATTATTTACCAAAACACATAACATTACACTACATTTCCAATGTATTCAACCTTATGCTAATCGGAGCTACGGTTCCCATTTTATGGTGGAAACATGGAAATAAATGTTTTCTCCATACTATCCTGATCGCTTAGCGAGCCATAGCGAGGCAAGACAATAACCACTAAACTAGAGAAATTATGTTGCTCAAGTAGCGAGGTTCAGCGAGACGCTCTAGCTAAGTCTCACATAGCGAGCAAGTAGCGAGATATTATAGAATGTCAAACTTCAAAATACTCCCCTGCCTCGCTTAGCGAGCTCATTATCGCCTAGCAAAAATGATAGATTCCAGACTATACATAACGCAACAGAAAAGGGAAAATCAACCAAAAAGCCAACACATATCATTTTGATGCACCCAATGTCCCAAAACAACATGATTTATCACAACAAAGCATGTAAAACATCATGTATGATACAAAATATTCACATATAGCATATTTTCACACAAACCCTAACTTCCTAAAACATGAATTCACCCCCAACTAATACTATCTAGGAACCCACCTCTAGATATGAAGATGATGATGATTTGAGATGATTCTTGATGATCCAAGCTCTTGATTCTTCTTTTTCCAAGCTTCCCCCCCTCCCCCCCCCCCTCTCTCTCTCTCTCTCTCTCTTCCCCCTTTCTCATTTTCTTTCCTTTTTCTTCTTCTTTTTCTTACTAACAAATAGAGAATGAATTAATAGTGTATAAAGTAAAGGAAAATATCTAAGGTAATGTTTGCTTCTACTACCATCTTATCATTTAATAATTATAAAAATTTGTTTTTATAAAAAATCTATAGATTAAATTTATTATTAAACAAGAGTTTGAGCAGTAAAGTAGAATAAGGAAAGAAAGAAGAAGATATGAATAGAAATAAATAAAACATAAATAAAATATAACAATGGAAATTAATTAGATAAGAGAAATAAAGCATGCACTTGATATTTATACAACTTTGACCTGACCACTTGGCTCACTCCTGACACTAAGAGTTTCCTTTTGAGAGTTCCAATAAAGATGTGAACTATTCGCATGTTATGCCTATGAGCCTTGTTACAATCAAATGGAGATTTTACTGGCTAATCCCAAAAACCAACCAAGAGATTTTAACGGCCTAATCCCACAAAACAACCAAGAGATTTTAGCAGGTTAATCTCTAAATCAAATGAGATATTTTGATAGGCTAATCTCCAAACTAATGAGAGATTTTGACAAGCTAATCTCCAAACCAAACAGAACTTTTAACTGAATGAGCTCACAATGCAAATAGAGATTTTACCCGGCTGATCTCAAAAACCAAATAGATATTTTAACCAGTTAATATCAAGAACCAAACATCAAATTCCTGTAATAATATTACAAAATAGATAAATCCTTATTTAATAACTTAAAATAATTATAGAACACCAACATATATCACAAGTATTTTTCACTCTCAGAGCACTAAGACAATTTTGTGAAGAAAAAGAAAAAGAAAAGGTAGGAATTGTCACTCATAATACTTTTAGCAATCACAATTGACATCAACCATTGGGACTGAGGAGTGAGATAATATGCTTATGTTTTCTGTATGTGAAAATGAGAAGGGAGAAACCTCTATGTATATGTTTGTGGTTGGCACAAAAAAGGAAATATCCATGAGCCGAAATTTAATGTGCCAATCAATTGACTCATTGCCCTAATTGATTGGAAGCCTAAAAAGTAATCAATTACCAAATCTCAATAAAGAAAGAAAATATACAAAGACGTTGCCATTCATTAAGACGATGTCCTAGTCGCTTATGAACAACTTTTACACTAACCTAATCGACTGGGTATAAGTGTCAACCAATTGGATAGTTTAAAACATGTTCAAAACTATTTTGATAGTTTTTGATTTAATTGGAACGTCTCCAAAATCTTTTAGAGATGTTTTCTTTAAGAAGATAGAGGCTTGAAACTTGTTTTACTGTGTGCGTATGTAATTTAGCCATATAACTTAAAAAAAAAACTCGTGTCTTTATAAGACACGATTCACTCAGACGCTACTGAGTGAGATTTCACTTTCACACTTTGAAGCTTCAAGTCTTGCCAAATAATCCAATCATATAAATACTTGCTTGAGTCTTATTGGACACGAGACTTGAGATATCTTCAAGTTGAATGTCATCATTAAATGATGTTTACAGTAATTACCAAACCCTAATTCGTCTGCTTGCATATTTAACCACTCGATTGACTTAAAGGCTTATTTAAGATGTCATTAAATTTTTATTTTAAGTTGTCATCATCAAAAACACATTCTCAAAGGAAAACCACGATAACTTTGATCACATTACTTGAATACCTTATAAAACATGTTTCTACACACGCAAGAGGTGTAAAGAAGATAGGAAAACAACTTCAATGACATTCATCAAAGCAAGTTCCCGATCTGTCACCACGACCTTAAGAAATAACTTCTTGGATGTGAACAATTCCTTCAGCTTCTCTAGAGCTCATGTGAAGTTTTCCTCCCTTTCATGTTTCAAGTAGGCAAACCAACCGAGAAAGTAAACTTACTTGACGTAACACCAACAATCTCAAGTAATGGGAGCCAATAATTGTTATTTTTGTATGTTTAGTCAAAGATCAAAACCAGATAACTCATATTCAATAGCTTCACAAAATTAAGATGTGTCCATAATATATCAACAATAATATCTGATTCCTCACTGTTTATGATTCAACATGTACATCTCATCATGAATTAAGGTCAACAAATGTTGTATTTCCGTGTTTGAACCTCTAATAATAGACCAATATGTCGATCTTGTCTTATAGACATGCTGCATAATTGTTAGATTACCTGCATCCATATCTTTCAAAGCAACCATTATGAACCTCGACACCATGTGGTAATTTGTCATGTCATTCACAAATTGTTTTTCATCAAATTTTATATGTCCTAATATGTTATGACCCTCTAAATGTCCAACTAGATCACGGTTGTGAATACCATATTTGAACATTATGTTTCAATCGTAATTGCTTGACACATGTCTCAACTTAAATGAACGTTTAACTATTCTATTATACGTGACTTTCAACTTTTTCTTTTGATCAATAAAAGTCTATCAAATTCTTTATTTATATTAGATGAAATTTTGCATTTTACTTAAAAGTAATTTTTTTATTTATAAAAAACTACTTATAAAATTTGAGATAAAGAATAAAAGAAACATATATTAGTAAATTATGTTGGGTGCCAGAATCACCTACAGGGGTGCATGGTATATTCTCCAAAATAAGAGCTCTGGCTTCTAAGTATTATCCAATTATAAACAAAATAAATAAAGTGCATTCTCCACCGTCAGTTAAGCCATCCGAATAAACGGTATACAAAACAACACGTCATCGATCCGCGTGAGGCCATTCCTTCCAATCAGATCTCCTTTATTAACCCTATATATAATTTTTCTCTTCATCATTATTCATCATTCGTTCTCAGCAACACTGCGATCACCTATCTTTTGCATTCGCCACAAACCAACCAACACCATCGATGGCTCCAACAAAGGCCGAGAAAAAGCCAGCAGAGAAGAAACCCGCCGCAGAGAAATCCCCTGCCGAGAAGAAACCTAAGGTAGAGAAGAAGATCTCGAAGGAAGGAGGAAGCGACAAGAAGAAGAAGAAGACCAAGAAGAGCGTAGAGACCTACAAGATCTACATCTTCAAGGTGCTGAAGCAGGTTCATCCTGATATCGGTGTCTCCAGCAAGGCTATGGGAATCATGAACAGTTTCATCAATGACATCTTTGAAAAACTCGCTCAAGAATCGTCACGTCTGGCTAGGTATAACAAGAAGCCAACTATTACTTCTCGGGAGATTCAAACAGCTGTTAGATTGGTACTTCCGGGTGAGTTGGCTAAACACGCCGTTTCTGAGGGCACAAAAGCCGTCACCAAATTCACCAGTACTTGA